AAACAACAATCTACACAATAACATATAATTAAATAAAATAAATAACAACACTCTAAGACTTCCCGTATTATAATTATTCAATTGATTAAAATGTGTCTCACACACGTAAAACATAATTGTCATCTTTGAAACAATGTTTAATTTATTATAATTTTATTATTAATGATTAAACCTTTTTCTTTTTAATTATTAAAATATATAATACTATAATAATGAATTAATTGTAATTTTACAAAACTACACAGCTTTTGAGCGGTAGGTTTAATCGATTATAACTTTTTTATAATCGATTAAACTTCTGATTTAAATTAGTTTTAAAAAAACGATCACGTCTTTCAAACGTAAGTTTATGTCGATTATAAATATTTTATAATGGATTAAACTTTTCATTTGAATTATTAAACTAAAAAATTAAAATTAATTTTTATTTTAATCTTTTTTCTTTCTCTTGCTTGTTTTATTATTATTATTATTTATTTTCATATACTCTATTTATCAACTATCTATTTTCATCCAACCAAACATACATAATATTATTTCTCTTCTTCCTCTAAAAAAAAATATTATTTCTCTTCTATTTTTTTCTAGTTTTTTTTATAAATTAAACAACCAAAATTTTACCTTATTTGTTACCAATTTTTGTTTATCTATTTCTTTCAAACTTATTTCTTTTTTTTTTTCATACCGAATTCACCATACGCGAGGAGTCAAGTTTGAAGGAAAGGGAACTTCAATTGGAAAAAAAAAAAAAAGTGGCCGTAATCAATTTTTTTTAGTATTATAGAAATAAAAAAAAAAAGGTAAATCGTACTTATCCTTTATAATATTAAATTCATAATTTTAATTTTAAAAATTTTCATTTCATGATTTTAGTTTTTATTTTATAAAATTTATAATTTTGATCTTTTTACTATATATTTATTTATTAATCATTTAAACTTTAATGTTCATTGTGATTTAATATTAAATAAATGATATTATTATTAAATAAATGATATGATAATTATTTTTTGATTTTGATTAAATTATACTTTTAATTTGTAATTTTATTATAATTTTATCATTTTTATGAGATAAAAATAAATAATAAAAAAGATAATTTAACTTAAATATTATTAAATATTAATTATTATATCATTTATTTAATATTGAATAATGACTAATACTATAATTTTAATAATTAACAGATAAATGTTTAAAAAATAAATTAAAATTACAATTTTTATAAATTTATAAAATTAAAATTACGAAATTAAAAATAAAGCAAATTATAAATTTAATAATATAATTAAAATATGATTTTTTAAAAAAAATCTGGCATGTTCAGTCAACTAGAATTGCATTGTAATTTGTCGATTAATGTAGTCAGGTAGAGTAGATGGAACGGCCAAAGGTATTTATGAATTATGAGTATGCTATATATATGTACGAATGTCCTATGTCTCTGCCTCTGCCTCCCCTGTTAATTAAGGTCCTCGAAAGTAGGGCTGCCCTATTTCATTCTTCACGATTAAATATTAAATTAAATTAAATTAAATATTAAATCATGAGGTAGTATTAATATAGGAAAATGATAAAATGTCCCAAACTGCATTCCGAAATGTACTTCAAAAGATTAAAATAATAATTTAAATTATAAAATATTAAATTAAATAATTGTTTTATAATAAATTTATTAAAAAATATTAGTATTTTAATATTCGAATCATCGTTCGGACAAAAATTTCAGACAGTGTATCTTCACTCATTAATATAAATAACGAAGGTATTTAGTTTTTTTAAAATTTTAAATTATGTGATATTATCCTCTTTATTTTATTTTATAATCAGTATCAAATAGAAAAAAAAAGTCTCAAAATAAATATATTTTAAAATTTTATGATATTAGTTACTTATTTATTTATATATTGAATAATATATTTTAAAACTATCTGTAGCATAGTTTTTAGAAAAAATTAATAAAAAATTAGTTTTATTAAAATTATTATTATCTTACATTTATTTATTAATTTTCTTAATTTTATGATAAAAATTAATTAATACAACACTTATTATGAAATATAAAAATAAAAATCTAAACTAAAAACTACAGTATTTAAATAAAAAAAATATAAAATTTAGTGCAAACTTACAAACTGAATAGAATAAATTATAAAGTAAATCTGATGTTGTTTTATCTAAACAATGTAACTTTTTTAGTATAAGGTTAAACTAATTTGAAAGTTCATGTAATTTCTTCAAATTTCTCTTTAAATTTATTGTGTTAAAAGTTCTCTATAAAAGATTTTTATACTTTAAAAATTTTATAATTAATTTTATTAACTAATATCGTTATAATTTTTCTAACGACTCGTTATAGGTACTATACTTCGTAAAATTATCAACTAGCAACAAAATTACTACTGATTAGAGTCATACATTCACTGATAAATGGTCATGTAATATATATAACATACATGTGAAAGTGAATTAACTATGCGACTAAAATCCATGTACACACATATATTTATATATACTCTCACACACATACACATACACATAGTAATCTAGGAAGTAAACTATGAACACTAAATGTTGGTCAAACACAATTATACAGGCCATTCAAAAGTAGTCATCGACTATATTGGCAACTATGTGATCCCATGTCGTTGCAAGAGCCCGCTCTAGCTAACTTTACCCTAAATTATGATCATCGTAGTTTAAATCACTTGAAAAATATATAAGGGTCAACTAGATTTCAAAAATATACAAATATAGAAAAGAACATTTATACTACTCTCTAACATATAAATCAACCAAAACACGTCACATGGTTTACAACAATCAACACGGTTGAAAGCCAACACTCAAACAATTCAAACATTCACCAAAATCATACCATACAATAAGGTATTCATCTAATGCATGTAAACAAAAATTAACTTACATCACATCACATGAACACCCCACAACTAATGCATCATCACACATCCATATATGGAGATCATCTAATATAATAAAGCAGTCTAAGTAGCTTGATCCTACGGAACCAATGCGACCACTTTCACACCTAATGCATTTGTTGGATCGACAACTAAAATGAGATATCGATCCTTACCTTTGATTTCTCAGGTATTTTCACTTACATTAGAAAAGTCTAGTTCCACCACATGACTAGTATAGTTGGGTATAGATGTATGATGACCTTGACATGTGTTACGAAGCCACATATGAAATTAACCCACTAACTATTCGTAAGGGTTAAACAACTGGTGCCAAGTGTGAGTACCTTAGAGGCTATCTGTCTCATTTTCTCTTGGTGTGAGATGAGTGACACTAGGAGTGAGTGCCTCAAAAACTCTAGTTTGATCATGTTGAGCATGAGTACACTAAATGAACAATATGGTTTGTGGGTTATTATATACAAAGAATTAAGTTTCTTTAATGTTGAAAATATGTTGTTTGTGTTTGAGTTGTATGTGATATGCATGAAGTATGTTATTGTGTTAAGTTATATGTGATATGCATGAGGCATGTTGTTGTACTATGTTTTGAACCTAGGATTAGAGGAGACATGTTATTTTAAAAGAAGAAATATCTCATTGTGTGAATATGTGTTGAGGTGCTCTAAGAGTCCAATTGTTGAAAATTCTTTCGTGAGATTATTGCCTCTTGAAATGGAGTGTCGAGTTTCCTCTAAGTCATTAATTGATACCGTATAGGAGCTAGGTCGAGCCATACTAGTTTAGAAGCAGCAAATTTGAGTAAGGTACAAAGTCGAGAGGTAAAATCCTTAATTGATTATTGAAAAGGTGCACAATATATTGAGGATAATCAACATGTTAATTTCATTTAAGCTTAGTTAATGTATAATAATGTCATGTTAGGCTCACACCAAACTATTTTATTCTTGATAGAGATATTGGAGTTTCCTAATTTAAGTGACAAAATTTGAGAAATCATGTGGTGATTGTGGATTGATATCCAAATTTGTTGTTAATCTAGCAAACCAAAAAGGTCATGTTTTTAAGTTGGTTTAGTAGGATTGACTTGTGTTAAAAGAGATCTCTTAATTAAAATAGGTGATGATACATTTTGTGTTTGTATAGCTAGTTTATTACTTTTATACTATGTTATTTTCTTGATTATGAGCTTATACTTACTTTTCATTGTTGTTGGACTACGATCAACTATGGGAACATGATAGGATTAGGTTAGAAGGCAAGCAGGTTGAGTTGTCATACTAGAAATGTTGGTGTTTTGATGATGGTTGTTGTAATGCAACATGTATAGTTGTTGCTTGATTGGTAGTCTAGGATCTTTATGTTTTGAAGCATGATTTGTGTGTGTGTGTGATTGGTAGTGTAGTATCTTTATGTTTTGAAGTATGATTTTTGTGTGTTTGGTAGTCTAGGATCTTTATGTTTTGAAGCATGATTTGTGTGTGTGTGACACCATCGTAAATTTTATCAATTATTAGATTATTCAATAACTTTCAATTAAATATAATTTTTTTAAAACTTATTATTAAATTGAAAGTTATATATATACATAGTGATATAAAATTATATTTCAACAATTTAATTGATAAAATTCATATTTAATATAAAATTATTAAATAATATAATATTTGATAAAAATTATATCGATGTTATTTGAAACTGTTATATATATATATATATATATATAAAAGTTACATATAAATTCTAAATGTACTAATAATGTAAAGATTTTTTTTATATTATTATTCAAATATAAATCATGATGAATGGATAAAAACATAAATTACAATGTGTGAAGAAATAGTTTATTTTTGGGTGAATGTAAAATACTTATCGACTGATTTGTCAATAGTCGATGTTTCTCGAAATTCTAACTAATTATTTTTTATATATTTCTGTCGGTGGTCAGGTTTCTTATGTCACATCTGAAGCTTTGCTGAAAAAATCCGAATCTAGGTCTAATATTAATTACATGTTGGTTGAATAGTAGTTATATAAAAATCTTTACAAAAATCTCTATATTTATTTATAAACCACGAATCAAAATCTAATTTAATAATACATAATGAAATCCATTTTTAACTAGCTAGCAATGTAAAACGGACTGGAATGTCTGCTCTAAATCTACCACATTTTTTGAACCCTAGCTATATGGCTTAAAAAACGCAAGAGTAGAAGGGTAAAGGGGAAAAATTAAGGCTGAGAGTACAGACGAGTATGACCAATTTCACTGTGGGGATCAAGAGAGAAACCAGGCAACCATGTCGTTTTGCATCTGAGAATTTGTCTTGCAATCGGTTTCCCAATCATCATCTTCCCACAGCCAAGTGAGGAGTTTCTCTTGGTGCTCCCAGTCATAAGCTTCGGACTCAGAAATCTTATTAAACTCTATCACGCTCTCCCAATCCCAGCTTTCTTCCGAAGCCAAGGTCGTGGAAGAGCAAGAATACCATTCTCCTCCACTGTCGCCGTTCACGCTACTCTCACTTGATGCCATTTTGTTGTGACACGTAACACCCATCACGTCTCTTTCTTCACTTAAGTTCCGGACCCCACATGTTTCCAACACGTCACTGAAACCCAACGCCCCACTACCCTCATTAATGCCCTCCATTTTACGCAGTCCTAATATATCGTCATCGGAACTTTCTTCCACACCCTCCACCACCTCCCTTCTCCTCTCGCCAACCTCTGCCACGTCAGCCTCCAGCGGCGGAACTGCGGCTGTGTCATTGTTGTGTTGCGTGAAACTCTGTGTTGGCCTCTGGGGTGTATCGTTTTGGGTGTAGCTTTTGTTCCTCTTCATGGCCCAACGGCTTGTTCTACCACCTTTGCGCTTCGGAGGAATAAGTGTTGCTGCCTTGGCTGTGTCCATGACCACTGCACCTGCTTGCTTCGGGAAACTGTAAATTTTTCTGCTGAGGTGAGAGTTCCAGTAGTTTTTTATCTCGTTGTCGGTTCTTCCTGGCAAATGACTTGCTATCAAAGACCACCTAAAATCAGCAAAAAACATAAACTCTGTCATTTCCCCTTTTACACCCACGGAAGTGTATATTTTTGTACTTACTTTTCAAATTTAACATATATAAATATAAATACGTGGACCGTTTATTCTCCTTTAATTATTGGCATATTATTTTATTATTTATGAATAAATATTCTCAATACAATCATGATTAAGAAGATGAGGATGTATCACAATTCACAACACATTCTCATTTATTAATTAAAATTTGTTTAAAATTATAAAATAAAGAGAGACTTGTTATATAGAATATGAGATTCATCATTTTTTTAATATATATTTTTAATAAAATTTAATCAATTAAAAACGACATTTCTATTTAAAAGAAAACTTTATACTTCATGTTTCATACACAGGATAAAATTCTCACTGGAAAAATAAATTCATGTATACAGGAATATTATTATATATTATTATGAGTTATACTATTATTAATATAATAAATTCATGTTTTTTATTACATTAATTAGCTTATTTCATGTCTTCCTTATTTTTCTTTTTTAATTAATAAAATTTATATAAAAATAATTTCTCTTATTAAATTTTTAGTAGTATGTCTTAAGAGTGCATGGACAATACCGAAAGCATTAATATATGAGTTATTCATTTATATACCGACAACTAATCAAATTTATTAATAATATTATGTTATTTATTTATTTAATTAAATTAAATTATATAAAAATATTATTAATAAATTTAATTAATTATTAGTATAAAATTTTTTATAATAATAATATATAAGTGATTAACTATTACTATATACCCATTGAATGATGTTTTATACGGAAAAGGAAAAAAAAAAGGGTAAAAGCGACTTTAGAAAGCTCATTCCCGTGAGGAATCTAGAAAAAGGTCATAGCTGTCGTATTCAACCGTTTCAGCAGTAACGCAAACCTTCAGATATTTCTAAGTGCCGTAAGTAACTTAAAATTAAAATATCTTTATTGTTGTTGTAGCTGTTTTATTTATAACTTATTCTAATTCAGCACAGTATTTTATAGTAACTGAAATCATTTGGGGAAATAATTTCTCTATTCAATATAAGTGTTACTTTTATTTTCACAGACAATATAAATGTTACTATTACAATTACTTTATGAAAATTTGAAAATCAAAATTATATTATTGATTTTAATCTCTTAATCGAACCATTATATATAACAATATAATTGGAGAGTAATACACAATTGCATCTTAACATATGTACCAAAAAAAAGTTAGAATTCCCCCCTTTTTTTCCTTTTTTTTTTTAATGTAACCAAACAATAGAAACGAAACATTTTATTTTTCTTTCTTTTCATTTTTCTCTCCTTTCACATTTTTAAAAAAATCCTCCTTTCTCTTCATTTTTTTTTGCTTATACTTTCTAACATAACCTTAATTCTCCAAAATCTCTTAAAATGAAATGGAAGTTTATTATTGCTCATACGTAAAGTAGATAAAAGTAATATATATCTAGCAACAAAATTCTCATAACATTTATTAAACACGAAAAGGAAACCTTATATGCATAATTTTTCGAGATGGCCAAAAGTCAAAACCCAAGGATATACGGTACGAGGATATATCTAATCTTAATTTAAGACGTTATTAATATGTTAGCATGCATTATTATAAAGATAAATATTTATTTTATACTACTATACTGTAATTTATAAAATAAATTTTAAATATATGAATTATATTGTAATTAAAATTACATAATATATACATATTTAAACATTAAATTATATTTTAAAATTATAATAAAAAATTATATTGTTATATAAAGATACTTTTAATTATTGATATTTTTAATTTTTCAGAATTTAATATATAAAAAAATATGACAAATTAAAAGACATGATAACTAAAGTGTAATTTTTTTTAACTAATTTCAATAACTAATTTTATTAATACAATATTTTTTATGAGGATCAAACCAAAAAATTACTTTATAAAGATAAAAATATTTTACAATAATTAAAAATAGTGTTTATAAATTTTTGAAAGATTAAAAACAAACAAAAAATCAGGAAACAAAATCAAAAAAAAGTCAGCTTAGTTTACAATGTTTAAAGGTATATTTAAACTTAAAAATGTTATTGTTATAAGAATAGTTTGTAAAAATATTTTGTATAAAATAATTATTTTAATTTTTATATAAAAGAGAATTCAATAAGAAGAACAAAATATATTAAAAATATCCCAAAAAAGTAAATGAGAAGACTATTTTCAAAGAATTTATCGAACAAATTCTTAAATTACAAAAAACAAAGCTATACTTTCAAAAAAGCTATATGAAAGTAATACTATAATTTTTTTTGTATAAATTATATTTTATTAAAAACTAATACCTTTTTTTTATGCTTATATTTCGTTATATTTTCTCTAAATTTATCTTATAAACATTTCTGCCTCTCAAATTTCTCGATTCAAAACCAATAAGAGGTAAGGTGATTTAAACCAAGTTTAATGGATTGTTAGTTTGTTACAATTTTTTTTTTCATTCTTTTATCTCATCTTTTTACTTTTAAAATTTTGTTCATCTCTTTCTCTATCTTTCTCTATCGCATAATTAACATTATTTATTACTTTCACATAATTCACCTAACACCATTTCAGAGTTTACGTCTATTTTAAACAAACCAAACACATTTTTTTTTCTTTATTACAAGAAAAAATATTTTTAAAATATAAATAAATTTTAATTATTATTTTTACTTCATTTAATAATAACATTTTAAAACATTTTTTAACGTTTAACCTTCCTATTGTATTATTATAAAAAAAATAATTTAGAAAGAGTATTACAAAATTAATATAATTAAATATAAATAATTAATTTTTTTAATATATGTAAAATATATATATTTTTATTATAATAGAGAATAGAGGAAGTAAGGAAGCTTTAAATTAAGTGTACGGGGAGAGTAATTAATTTCACTGTCATTTGACATCTCAGAGTAATAGGAGTTTTATGGCGGAAAATAATGAGCGTGCACTCTATTTGAGGATAGATTGAAGTAGAAGAAACCGAGAGATAAGAAATAAGTAAATAGATAAATCATAAATGTATCAGTGATGTGATAATAAAAAATAAGGTAAAAATAAATAAATGTTGGTTTATAATCACCTTTTTATCGCCATTTTTTATACTAGGCTCGCTCAGTTGTCCCGGAAAGTGTAACATACATATGATATAAAGATGCAATTCTTTGAACAATACATTTTTTATAAGCAAAAAAATGAAAATGAGTAATAATTCGTTTTTATTTTAATTTTAAATAAGGCCCAAGTAGTGCACTTTATTTTAAAGAGGTTGCGGATAGAGGTCTCCATCTCAATAATTAACGATAAAGGCACCTTAAGTGGTTGGATTTCAAGTGTTTCGGAATAAGATTTGGAGTAATCAGGAGTATGTATGAAAATTAGTTGAGTGAAACACATCTGAAAAAAAAGAAGAAGTTATATTTACAAGTTTTTTATTTTTATTTTTTATGCATTAAAATATATTTTTTTTATTGAAGGTATTAATATTTAAACACACACCAAGTCATTTTCAATAATAAAAAAAGAGCCTTTATCGTGTTCATAAACACAATAACGGGTCCTTATAAAATTTATTATTGAAATATTCTGACGTATATGTCACGGTGTAATAACTATTTTTATAAGAATTTTCAATAACTAATTTTGTTAATAAAAATTAATTTTAAATACAAATATTAAATAATGAAATTTTTTGTAAAATTTACATAAAATATATTAAGAACTCAAATTAGATTATTTTTTTATGAAAACAATAAATAAATTTTTTAACTAGTACGTTATGTCAAAAGACTTACAAAAAAGTGTATTAATAACCTAATTAAGACAACGTTAGTTACTTTTTTTTTATTTAAAAAAAATAAGTTACTGAATCTCACAATCATTATTTACTGTTTTAAAAAACTTTGATTTTTGGACATCTAAAGTGCTACTGAATACCTAATGAGTAATGAATGAGAGAAAAAAAAATAAAAATATAATGTAATGTTCAAAAAGATCATTCCTGTTCCTTGATTTCGTTGTCACTTTTATGAATGTGATGATCCAGAAAATAGAAGAGGTTTGAGGCTTAATTTTTTTAAACCCTAATACTATTGAACATGCCACTAACACTAACCTGTTGCCAAAAGAAGAGTGCAACTTAACGATGGTATTTTCCTCTTCAGCAGTAATGTTCCCTCTTTTGAGGTCAGCTCTCAAATAGTTGATCCATCTAAGTCTGCAACTCTTCCCGCACCTCAATAATCCTTCCAAATCCCAAAATGCAAGTCAGAAAGAAGCCAATTGATTAATAAAATAAATTGCTCTTCAACAAATATACATGTAGCACCAAAAATAATTTGTTGTTGGAAGTTGAAGCTTCATGTGTCAAAATAGAAAATGGTCCCCGAAGAAACGAAGTAATTTGGCTAACAAAAATAATAATTTAAAATTATAAACAATTGATACCTGCATTCTTAGGCAATGACCTCCAAGAACCTTCTCCATTGGCCTGAATATATTTTGACAGGATCTCATCCTCTTCTGTTGTCCACCTACCCTTCTTCAACCCAACTTTCTCACAACAAGGAGCTCTTCCCATGTGGATAGGGTAATTAATTACAAGACAAAAAAATGCAGAAATTGTGAGAAAGAAAGGAAGAAGACAGTAAAGAGAGTGAGGTCAGTGGCTATAAACCAGTAGTAGAGAGTAGAGAGTGTGGTGAAAAGGGGAAGTGCATGGTTGGAAACGAGGTACTCGTGGTTGTATTATTTAGCTGGCTGAAGTGAAAAAAGGGTTAGAGGAGTTGAAAGAGATTTATAGAAATGCAATAGGTAGACAGAGGGGTGGGGCTAGTGACTTTGACGTATCTGTGGTGGCAGATTGTGCCACGTCGGCTGCGTACGAATGCTACAGTCGTGGCTCACCCACCGTCGACAACCTCGTGACGGGGCTTCCACCCCCCACGTTGATGCCATACTGTTGCCAACATACTCATTAGCCATTACTCATTACTCAATTACACTTGCGAATTCGTAATTGCTCACCAGAAACTTCTTTCCCGCAACGTTAATGACTCAATTTACGTCAATTTATATTTCTACAATGCAGGACTAATAACTATTTAATTTTTAAAGAAAATAATAATAACAATTAATGTCTTGTAGAGTTTTTTTTTATTAATTAATAATTATTATTATAACGACAGATAATAAAATTTAAACTTTAAATCTTTTATATATATGTCATTTCAACGTTACTATTACACCATTTTAATGGTCTAATGCTATATAGAAATTAATTAAGAATTAAATTATTTAACACAGTCAAATAATATTTATTTTCTAATTTTTTAATATTATTATTAGTTAAAAATTCTAAAATTTTGTAAGTTATGATTAAATGACACTAAACAAATTTATTATTATTAATAATAATAAAGAGTATTAAAGTGCTAACATTCTTTTATTTGGAATTATAAGTGATAGAGGACGTATCATCCTTGAAAGTCATAGGTCCTCATAATATCTATGGTTAGAAGACTAGAAGAAGCTACTAGAGAGAATGTGTTTCTTAGATCTTTGCTTATTATGAACATAAAGTACGTGTCTTCCTCATAGTTGTTTAATCTCTTATTGTATATACTTTGTATAACTTGTTTTCCATTCTTTCGTATAAAGTAGTAAAATGTATATGTTATTTTTACCCTTGTATTTATGATGTATATTTATTTGTTTTTAGGTCATGCCTATAAGATTTAGAGGCATGTTCCTTTTTGAAATGTATTCCATTTGATCTTATATTCATGATCACCATATTTTATTTTCTTTGAATTTAGTAGTTGAAGTGGAAGTAGTCATTCTAATGTTGTGACAACAACCATTCTAGGTGGTGTGAAAGTAGTAAAGGTGTGAAAATAGGCAAAAGTAACATTAAGCTTGTTTTTCTTCTTTTAGTCTAAGGAATTGATTTGGCATGATTCAGCTTTCATTTGATTAACCAAAGCAAATCAATTCTCTAGTTTTTGATTCGACCGAGACAAGCCCATGACCACTTTGATCGCCCATCTTGGTTAGTTTTCCACCTTGGAACTACTTCTCCAACCATCTAGAGACAAAAAGACACTTGACACTTGCTCATTGACTATTTTAGATTTAGTTATCCACTACATGTCTCAAACATGTCCACTTGCCTTGTTTGTGATTGGAGGAACTAGATCTAAGTGTCTTCTCCTTGTCTCCTAGATGTACTTAGCTTCCTTTCTTAGTTACCTAGCTCTATATATAGGAGTTTTGACCCATTTTTGTACTCACTTTGAGTTTAATATATACTTGGTCGAGATTTTCTCTCTAATTCTCTCTCTCAAAACTTGTTTCTTTCTTTGAAATTCTTCCTTTTCTCTTATCCTTTCTTGAGTGTGGTGATAAATTGAAGAGACTTATCACTCTTCCAAAGTGTGGCGCCGCCAAGGAGATTCCCTTCACCATCTTCTATGGTGAAAATGACATCTAGCATCCATGGAAGCCATTGAAAAAGCTTTAAGGAGTCTAAGAAGTGAAGATTCTTTCCTTAGAAGGTTGAAAGAAAAGCTACATCAATCTTGTTTCTCCTAGAGTTTCCATGAATAAGTAACTAGTATTTTAGTTTGTGTAATGTATAGGTTGAATGCTTATTATATGTAACATTATACCAGGTTAGTTGGGTGGGTTGTGATGGTCTTTGGTCAGTGGTCTAGTTGACCCTGAGTGGAAAGGTATATAAGGTTTTTTCTGAGAGTTGAGCCTCATAAATTCAATTTCTTAGAAACCTTAGAGAGAGAAAATGGAGTGAGAAGCTCTAGAGATCTAATACTTCTGCTCTTATTTCTAGGTTCCTTGGAGGCGTGAGAGGCTTTTGCTGATCCAAAGTTTTTAGAGCTGAGGATTGGTGTGGGTGCAGAGTTTTGTCAAAATTCTTCTCTTCCTCTTCCTTATTTATTCTTCTTGGTGGCCAAGGTTTGGGGTAAAGTAAGCTAGGCTTGATTCTTGATGAGTTGTTTGGTTGTATATGTTAGAAAAGAATGGCCCAATCCAAGAGGGGGGGTGAATTGGATTCAATGACCCTTTAAAAAATTTATCAGAGTTTTTGGATCTTAAATTCAATCAAAACTTTTCTATGACATAATTTTCAAATGAAGCACTCTTAAAGACTTGTTACAATGATATGAATGCAATGTGCAACTTGATTACAAGACAATGAAGTTCAAATATAATATCCAATTATAGATTTAAACCATCAAAATTCACATACACATGTTAGTCAAGTTTTATCTTCTTTAAAGCACAACCAAGAAATTACAAAATAAGAGATAAGGTTGAAGAAGATTGCACAAGTCTTTTATACTGGTTCAGCCACTCCACATGTGACCTACATCCAGTCCTTAATCACCACCTGATTAAGATTTGATCCACTATCTTTTAGCAAGAAGGTTTACAAGCACACACACATGCATATACTTCACTACAAAAAGATAACCACTTTCTTGACCCCAAGAAAGTAACCCTTGTAGAACCCACTACAAGAAACTTCACCACTTGAGAAACCCTTCTCAAGATTTTTCACAAAGATTCACAAAGAATAAAATGAAACGAATTCACCTGGAATTCTTGAACAAATCTTTGTCTTCCTCTTTCAAGAGTATGATGATGATGATGATTTCCTCACAAGCTTTTCACAAACGTTTTTCTCTTGGATTTCACAAAGAAAACTCTCCAAGATGTCACACAGACTCTCTAAAACGTTTTTACCAGTTGATTATCAGTTTTTACTCAATGTTATGAAGTTTCAAAAGAGTTCAAACTATTTATAAAAATTCAAACCCAGATAATCGATTATTTTAAAGAATAATCGATTATTTTGTTCTTCAGATTTCTGGAAATCAATCAAGAACAATTTAATCGATTATTTAGCTGGATAATCGATTATTCCAGAGAGTTGTTCCTGAAATAATCGATTATTTTGGCAAATAATCGATTATTACAGCAAGGCATTCCACTTAGCCCACTTGCTGAAATAATCGATTATATTTAACAATAATCGATTATTTTGAGTCAGTTCTTAAAACTTCATTTTAAGTCTCAAAATAATTTTCCAATGTTTAACTCATCATCATCTACTCCCTACTTGATTCTAGACAAGATTTGCTCAATGCACAAAGCACACACAGACACAAATATAACAATTCATTTATAACAATTTGCTTCCTAAGCTCTATTACATAGCTATACTTCAAGGTATTTTTCTTGACTCTTCCTTGACTTTGTTTTTGTGTTCAATGTTGTTGTTGTACACTTGTTGTCTCCAAGTTGTTGTGATCATCAAAACTCTTAAAGTCTTCAGCTCCCCTAAGCTCAACAGTATATATGTGAGATTGTTTAAACTCTTGGCTATTAGGCAAAATCTGAGGTGGAATTTTGATGCATGTTGAGTTCTTGGTGTTTTAAGCACATGGGGTGATTTTGATGAATGATTCAAAGTGACTTGCATGTGTTATTTCTTGATGATTTTGAGTTGTATAGGGTTAGTATGTGGATTTGGATGCATTTCATGTCTGGTTGGGTTGTTTTTTTAGGTGGATTAAAGAGATTTTCAAAGTCTATATCCATAGATTTCTGATGTCATTCCAAGTGTGCCTTTGTGACGTCGGGCTTCATTTCAGTCAAAGAGCTCTGTCTTGATCATGTCGGGCATAGAATTAGTGGTGCTAGGCATAAGGTGAGAGACACTTCTTGGGTTGGGATGGCACTAAGCTCAGTTTAAATGACACCAGACGTGAGAGCATGGGAAAGCCTCTTACTTGTTAATGTCAAGCGTCGATGAGGTGACATCAGGCATGAGTTAGGCAGAGACTTTTTGCTTGATATGAGATTATGCATGGGTTTTGCCACACCAAGCATGAGGTCCTAAAGGGTCTCCACCTCAATCATGCTAGGCGCGATTTGGATGGTGTTGGATGTGAGTAAGGTAGAGAGTTCCCTACCTCGATGGTGTCGAGCGTAGGGTATGTTGCACCAGACGGATGGTGCCAAGATGATGGAGATGTTTTGGTGGTGTTATACAATGAATATGAATAGATGTTTTGAGTTCTATTGCATGTTGTATGATGCTTGGTGATTGTTTTATATATGTTGATTGGATATGACATATGTAGATGTTTGTATGTTATTGGATGATGATGAGCATACGTATGTTGTATATTTATACGATGTTGTTGATATCTATATGCATTGACCGAATGTGATATATATAGTTGATGTATGCATGAGGTGTGGATGTTGAGAATACGGTGTGATATTAAGGCATGTCGGCTAACTAATAAGGAGAGAAAAGTGTTTTTGAAAATTGAAGATCCCACACATAGAGAATCTTGGAGTGGTGGTCGGGTAGGCCACTATTAGAAAAATCTCCTTGAATAACTATGTCTTTTGGACTAAGTTTTGAGGTGTGTTGATATCTCTTTTAGGTCTTTAGTCAATGGTTGAACAAGATAGGAGGTTGAGGGCTATAACCCTTAATCAAGTACCTGGAAAGGCTGCATGGTTCCTTGAGGATAATCAATGGGCGAATTTCATATGTAACTTGGTAATGCATGCCAAGATCGTGGTAAACTTATATCCAACTATACTATTCATAAGGATGGAACCATATTTTCCTAGTGTAAGTGACAAAACTCGAGAAATCAGAGGAGGGATTGATATCCCATTTTACTATGATCGAGCCAATGCTTAAAGTGCGAAAATGATTGGGTTAGTTCGGTAAGGTGGAGTCACTTAGACTATGCATGTTGTTAGGATATTTTTACAGGCAAATGTATGATGACACATTAGTTGAGATGTTTTCATATAATGTATGTTGTGTGAGTTCACATTCATTGATGGATGTCTTGGTTGATATGGTGTGGATGAGATACATGTTTGCTTTGGAGTGTTTGGCTTTCATGTATGTTTGCTATGATGTTGTACGTTATAGAATTGTTTTATATACTTACATGACTGTTATGATCATACATTGTA